TTGCCTTGAATTTTTTTCTTTTTTTTTTTTTTTCCCTCTCTTTTTTTTTTTTTTTTTTTTTTTTTGGAAATCATTAAAACAATGCATTTAGATCAGCACAGATAGGACCCAATGTGAAGGTCAGGAAAGCTGCAATAACAGTCTATAATAATTAATAGACTTGTCTAATACACAGTGGATAGGTTAAGAGTAAATTGCAAAAAAGCTTTTTGCATTCACGGGGGGCAGGCCACCAAGAAAAAAAAAATCAGCACGAGCACTTAATAAAATTTAAAACCGTAAGTTACAAAGCTGTAATTGAAATCATGACAGCAACTAGAGTGGTGCATGTTCTTAGGACTCATGGTCAATCTAGATAATTAGTGTTAATTTTACCTATTTTTTTTATTATTATTAAAAGGCACCTTCTCATAACATCTTCTGGTTCCTCTCCATTGCTCATTAGGCAAAAAAAAAAAAAGCACATGTAAGCCTTCAGTGTCTTTCTCCAAATATGGCCACCCCCCACCCCCCCAAAAAAAAAAAAATAAAGAACTATTAGTGTTAAATTCTCTAAATTTTGTGGAAAAAAAATAAATCAGAATCCTAACACTATTACACAGTATCTCTCAAGAAAGAGAAGAAGAAGTGGGAGAGATGCTGGGGGGGGGGGGGGGGGAGCAAAGGAGTTTAGAGGATAACAATCCTAAAAGTAACACAGGAGATTTAACAAAAAAAAAAAAAAAAAAAAAAGAGACAGAGACAGAGTGGGCACAAGGACCAGAATATTATAATTGCAGAACAGATGCATAGTGCTGTAGTGGTATACTAAAAATTAAAAGGCTAGACTGCTATGCTATGGAAGAGGGGGGAAACAATCAGATTTCACATTGCAGTGCAGAAGAGCTACCCAATAAAAAGAATTATCATGTAGTTGTATATTTTTTTATATACTATATAAGCCACAATTCATCTCAAAAGTAAGTCGTAAGCCCACAGATCAGTTCAGTCCTACTGTGAGCAATTAGAATACTAAAGCACGGCGAACTCAGTGCTAACATTAACTCAGAGCAGTTTCTTACCTGATTTCAGACCCTTTCCACCAAAACCATACTATAATGAAACCTAGTTTTTATTACAAATGATGGTGTTATTTACATGGTTTGGCTTTGGAGGCACACAGCCCTTTGGTCAGGAAATGTGTGCCCTGCAGTAGCAGCTGATGCTTTCAACTGCTCCCCACCCCTCCCCAAACTCCTTCTCCCACAGTATCCCGTGCTCCCAGAGAGGTGGGTAGTGAGGTGATTCAGTGCGTCTTGCAGCTTCAGAAACAGCTTCTATCTGGAGTTATATAAGGAAGTTTTGCAAAGTGGCATGCTATCACTAGAGATTTTGTCATTCCATGTGGGCTGGATTCAAACTGAGATCTCAGGAGCTCAAAAGACAGAGCGGCACAGCCTCCATGCAATCCCGTGTACGGTGTGTGTGCCAGAATAGAGCCCGGTAATGAGAGGAAGCGTAGGTTTTATTAACAAACAGTATGGCAAACCACAATTTCTTTTAAGATCTGTTCATACCTCCTTAGGAGAACTATAATTGGGGATGCCTTGATGTTTCACTATGCGATGAGTTAAGAATTATGCCTGAGTCACCACACTAGCCTTCATTTAAGTTTGAATGTGCATTTTGCACTCAGTGTAAAAACACCATTGCAATTACAGCCTATCCAACACATAGTGGGTCTTTAAGTAGAAGAGAACAGAACGCTAACAATAGTTTTCTAAATTATTTTTCTCTACCTGTTCAGTTTTGATCTAGATAAAATGATAAATCCATTTATTTAGATTGCTTTGCTGCTGCTCTTCCAATATACAGAGAAAGTAACTTCTGATGCTAACAAGGAAAAAAAGAAAATACTAGAAGCAACGTCAAAAAATGACAGAGTAATTATAAGCTCCTAAATGTATGCCTGAGTTCAGTATAGCTCCCAAATCCAAGCCCTGTGCAGTAACATTCTGAATTTTCTTGTTTGCCTGCACAGCTATTTCAAAAAGAAGAGTAGTTAAGTAGCAGCTTTGTTCTTCATATCTGATTAAATTTTCAGAATAATTTACAAATTAGGAATCTGTACGTTTATAAAACTATAATCACTGTTTGCAAGCAAAAATGATCCTAGTATATTATTTTACAAAAGCACAGAAGCAGACGTGCAGGTGTTGTTAAAGGGTTGGACAAATGAGTCTTGTTCTTCTGAAAGTAATCTCGGAAATCAGGCTGTACAAACCCTTGCAACAATATTGTCATCTGTTTAAATACTGGGACTATTGGGGAGGGGAACTCAGCAGTGGTGGGAGGGCTTTCATGTGGTTACATGTTTATTTTATTTTTTTTCTGCTGTTTTACACTGTAGCTTTAACATATTAATATCAGCTCCACAAGAAGAAGGAAAAATAAAGCATTCAGGGAACTGCTGAAAGAATCTTTATATCACAAATATCTTACTGTTTCTAAGAATTCCCTGTAATTGCCCTTAATCTGGTTACTTTACAATTCTTTGTCATCCCCATTTCTAAAACTTACAAATCCTTTTCTCCAGAGCTCAGAATTCATTACTGTTTCAAAAAGATGATACCAGACAAATATGTGATGTTAAAATAGTCGTGCTTCTAAATATATTTATTCAAATACTTCACTGGTTCAAACTCCCCATATGAAATCCTTCAAAAATCTGACCCATAAGTAATCCTGACTTTATTGAAACCTTGGTTTTGGCAGCTATCAGGAAACAATAAATTAAAAAAAAACAACAACAACAACAACAAAAAAACAGTTCAGATACCTGTTTTGCTACAGCAATAACAGAGGATATTAATTTCAGAAAATATACTGAAACATTTGAGGAACTGACCATTAAAACAGACTTCTCCCTCTAAATATTTATGAGTCATTTTATAACTGGAAGAAAGGTGTTCTGGAATACTGATCTCTAGTGTTACACCTACAGATCTACAGCATGCACAAATAAATAATAAATATTGATATGCGTGCGTAGGTCTACCTGTACTGTATTTTCAGTGGGTATACAATATCCACTGTAATACACAAGCTGCTTCAGTACCTCACACCAAACATTACAAAATACTGTGTAATTCTTACAGTGTTTCAGCACAGGTTTTAACCAAAGCAATGCTTTCACTTTCAATACCAGTGTACAAATGTATTTATTCTATCAAAGATTTTTGTGATGCAAACAAGATTATTACTGTACCTGATTTGATCATGCTATTCTAACAAAGATCAAATAATAGGTTTTCCTTTTTTTTCCTCTTCTTTTTCTAGTGCCTTTAAAAAATCTGCTATCAAAGAATGTTAATTTCTATGGTTTGATCTAGAGATTCCTATGTAAGTATACAATTATTAGGAAAAAAGAGGCACAACAGTGAATATTTTAAAGCAATGTAATCAATATTTTTGCTTTGTGTAGATTTCCCTGCAACAATGAACAAAAAGATCTACTTCAGATTTAGAAACTCAGCTTTAAAGGGAAAGCTAGACAACAAAAAGCAAGAAAGTACTCACCTCTTCACGTAATTTTATCAACTGCAACATGAACGCACAAAAAAGATAAAAAGGAAAGAAATGGCAGGAAAGAAAGATCAGTTGTGTGACAGGATACAGAATTAACATTGACAATTTATCTGTTTACATGTTTAGCATTTAAAAATCACAGACAAACACATTAAAAGAACCTAAACATAGACTACATGCAGAGTTTTTTGAACGAATAAAGATCACTTTCTCACACTGTCACATTAAACAAAGAGAATAGTGTGAAATTCTCTTTTAAACCACATCTAAGACACCATCATGAAATAAAGGGGAATGACTTCATAGAAGTCTATATTATAAAGAAAAAAAACAAGTTTACTATTCCTCTCCTCGAAGATTGTACAGCTGAAGTGGTTTTGTATATACAAGTTTTCAGAATGTTTTCTGTATATTTTAGTTGTGACAACTGATTTCTTATTTTACTAGCAGATCTAACTTATTAATAGATGACTGCATCTTTATAGCATGTCACTAGTACTCCAATTTTTATATACCTTAGTTTGAATCTGACTATATTATCTATTTTTATTATTGAACCTCAAATGGAAACACTTTTTCAGGTTAAAAAAAAGCAGCTTAGTTAAATGACTCAGAATTATGTTTTTATTGCACAGCATATTTAATAATAGACAAAGGAACGGGGAACAAGATGAAACAGATTTCCCGCAGAAAAGACCCATTGCAGGCTCTTAATCCTAGACCACTATACAGTGTATGAATACACACACAGTGTATGTGTGTATACTTATACACTATAGACATTCATGTTTATCAATTTATGCTTGTAAATCAATGCAGTCTAATTCTACTAATAATATTGCTCTGACAGGTTTCCTATTAAACTAAATAAAAACCAGTGTGAATATCAAGCTATGTTGTAACATCCTCTCCATTTACAGAGATATATTATTTGTACTGGAACAAAAAGTACAATTACTCACAACAAATGTCTGCGTAAGAGTGGCTCTTTATGAAAAAATTACAGTTCTCTCACCGATTCCAGTTGAATTCGAAATTATAACAGCTACATCATTATCTCATTTTATGCAGATACTTCACCTACAGTTTCATAACCCTAATTTTCAACACGTGTGTAAGCTGAGAATGTTTACTACTTATGAAGTCTCTCCAGCCGGGAGGAAACAAAAGCATTTCCACGATTCTCTATTGTTTCATATGGCTCGCCTGAACCAAACACCCGCCTCACCCCAAAATGGACAAAAAACCTCTAACTACGTGTAATTGGGAGGGCTACTACTGCACCAAGTCGAGCTGAGACAGCTCCTCAGCGCCCAGCTAAAGGAACTTTGCTAGAATTTGGTATAAAGAAAACAGCACTGTCCACCAAACTGGTTCTTAAATTCAAATGCTTGGCCTATCATAAATTGGTCTCTTTCTCCAGTTCTTCCCCCCCTTTTTTCCCCAAAAAGGCAAACATTAAGGCTCTTTAGAAAGAGACGATCTGGGAGTTGATCGCATAGCTATCTTTTCTTTCTGAGGCCACCATTCTTCAGTTGGCTATGATACTTAAAGGGCCAAAGTTTAAAACTACTCTCCCGCAATAGAGTCCATTTGGGCATGCCACCCTGCTATAATCAGTGAGGGTTTGAAAATGCTGCACATTTGTTTTTTCAATAGGTCCCAAACAAAAATGTTCTATCTTGTTTGTGCTGCATGGCTGAATTTAAGCTCTGCATAGGATTTGCAGCTAAGCTAAGTAATGGGAGAAGGTTTTCTTTTTCTTTCTTTCCTTCTTTTTTTATTTTATTTTTTTTACATTGGCTGAAAGATATTCATTCAAATTAACAAAAGATGTATTTTTCCCCCATTTAACAATGCATTTGATGAAAATGCGTTACCTTTACTTTTCTATTTTTAAACATTTTCTGGTATTTTTATCGTGCTTGCCGCTCAACTGTAAACTGCACTAAGCTGTGTGCAGCCACCATTTTAGGTTATGATAATCAGCATATTTTTGAAACAAAGATTTTTTTTTTCAATACAGAATTCGATACAAGAGGTAATCTGTTCCTTTGTAGGCTAAAAAAAAATCTGGTTTACGCTGGTTTGAACCAGTGGAATCTCTTGTGGCTAAGCCTTCTGCTGTGACTAAAATCAAAACTGCGCCGCAGAGAGCGAGCGAGATTGTGTGTATGTGTGTGTATGTGCGTGTGTGTGCCCGTGTGTCTGTGAGGCACACCACGTGATGCAGAAAACTACCGAATTTTTTTTTTTAAAAAGCTGATAACGCTACTGCCGTCTCTGTCCGCATATAGATAACGAATAAATGCTGAACTCTATTAAACGCCCTTTACACATTATCGTGGGTCGAACACACAATTTTCTGAACTTATGATGACAGTCTATTTATTTTGCTATAAACCCTCGGCATGTAACGAACAGATTTGTGTCTGGTAATGATCTGCTCTGCCAGGGCTATATGAAATGATACCGACCTTCTTTAGATCTTGGGGAATTAAATTGACCAACTTCACCCCCTGGTCTGTAGCTGAAGTTTGACACACTTTATGCACAGCAAGCCCAAATCTAATATTATCAGAACTTTGTAGTCAGAAATTAAGTAGCCACAAAATATTTGTTCGCCACAAATCACATATGCAGTGTATGTGCATATGGACACATAATTTAACCTAATGTGAATTTACTTAAGCACATTAATTAACATAGTTGTGGAAGAGAAAGGAACAGTAAAATATTTCAAGAAAGTTGGTAACAGGGTACCTGACACTATTTTGGTAGAGAGGGATTTCTGATTTAACCCAATGCACACTTAGTAAAACACATAGAAATCACCGCATAAAACCAGCTCTGTGATTATTGAAGTGAAGCCACAACTTTAAGTAGCGTATCACTGCACTGAAAAGCTCAACAACTTTCACGGGATTTGATGATCATTGAAGTCTTATTTGTCATTCTGGCCAGCAAAGTAATAGAGCCCATTTAAGACCACTTCTAGAAAATAAGTAACAAGCTGATTCACATGGGTTTTTGGCGTTGTTCTTTTTGTTTGTTTTTGATGGGAGAAGGGATGTCTCCTGATTCTGCACCTCTGCATGTGCCTCACCTGACCACATCCACCAGATATATTTCAGAGGGAATTAACGTACACTAAGCAATGACTTCATTAAACACTAAAAGAATTAAGAGGTTTGTATCGCTTATTAAACAACAACGCATTTACTTTAAATGAAGTTTTGATTAGCAAAATTGTATGATTTTCACAACCTCTTATAAGAAGTTTCTGTATGCGTTATCTAATAAAGTCAGTTAACTATTGATATAATCATGATAAGGCAACCATATTCTAAACTGTCATCTACACATGGAAGACATGTAGGGGAACATGAAAAAGAAGAGAAAAGTCCAATCATCATGTGGTAATTCTTCACTCTTTTCTTGTACTTAAATCTTTCTTCTAGGGAGAACAACTGGAAACTCATAACTACGTATTCTACCCTGTTCAGTACAGCTTTCAAGTTGGCTGTGTTTTGCTGTAACTCCACCTTCGAAACTCAACTAAAAAAAACAGAAGTTGAACAAAGCAAAAATTCAAATTGTTTATTTTTCCTGCACTGCCCCATTTATTTCTAGAAACTTGATATATTCACACTAGCCAATATACATTAAGTTCCTTTTGTCTCCTCCCTGCACCAAAAACATTATGCAAACATTCATCACGATGACAAAGACCATACCTTAAATGTACTGCTCATAACTGTATTTCCCTTGGGTAGTGTCCAACTCTAACCAGATATTCAGCATTTCTATTGGCAAATTTTACCAATATCTCAAGATTGCTGTAGGAGCAATTCTGAGCTGGCAACTGTTTTTGTTATTGAGAACTCCATTATCAGAGGAATCCCTCTTCTCATCCCCTCTCCTCTTTTAAAGTTTGGTGACCAAACTGGGAAAGAAAAATCATCATTTTTTGGTTTAACTAATTTAACCTAACCAAAACTGACTGAGAAGTAAGAGACAAAAAAGTACAAAAGTAAAAAAAAAAAGAGAAGTAGTGTGAAAAACAGTAGTGTGAGGGTCAGTCTGAAACATCTTCAAACATTTTATATGCCTGCAAAGTATACTTGATCATACTTTCTTCACCTAGTCCAAGTTTTGTATTAATGTAATAATGCATAGGAGCAAATGTGGGGTAGATCTGGAGTTACTGAGTCAAATATGTTATCATGTTAATTGTATGGTATATACCCAAACCTTGCACTTTATCAGGATGTGCAGCTCTATCCAAATAAACTCAACAAAAGACTGAAGCTTGTACACTAAATGCTTGTTGATTTAACTAAAAGCATAAAACAAATACAAACATGAATCATGATATCTCATATATTGTGCCATTCCAGTAATCAACCATAAACAAATTTCTTTTTAAATATTGGCTTTTACATTTTTAAAAGAAAGATGGGTGTCTCCAGTACGTTGATATTTTGTAGCACACTTCAAGAAAGAAAACAAAGAAATTCAGAACTTTCAAAGATAATGGTTAAAGTTTCAAGTTAGGTTATAAAAAAGGACTTTATTTACTGAAAAGACTAGAAAACCCTTCTGTTTCCCCCTCCCCACCCCCGAATTGCTACCTCCCCTTAAATGTGTTCCATTTAAGAAACAGTCATTTGAAAGAAAAACAATCATGTTGACAAATGCATGGAAGTATCATTTGGTTCCTTAATGTGACCATGTGTCTTCCATCAGGTTTTCAAAAGAGATCACAACTTGCAAAAAGTGCAAGTGAACCCGTTATTTAACCATTCCTTAAAAAGTGAAAATATTTTATTTCATCCCAAATATAAGACACTTTGTTATAAGCATCACATTTGTCCTTTTATGTTTGAATTCACTTATGTTTTCTAGAAACATAAACATAGCAGCACCTTAAAGAAACAAAACAAGAATCTTAACACTTTTACAGGACTGAGTTTACTTCCATGACACACAGCCTGGGAAATTCTTCTCCCTGAAGTTGTCCTTTCTGCAAATATATTATTTAGGGATAAAAAAAAAAAACCCTCTTCCTTTTATTAAAATTGTGGACACCCTCCCTTGCTATAATATCTAAATTTGAAGATTAATATCTTTTACTTTTAACTCCACACATAGATACTACAGCTGCTATACACTGAAGTCTACAGATAAACTGTATACCATGCATAATTTCACTTACATATGTATTACAGTCTATCAGAGATAAAAATTTACACAGCACACTTAAAACACTGCATAATATTAGTGTTTAATGGGGTCTGTGTCTTAAAATTCATTTTATTGGTATAAGCCTCCAAGACTTAGGTTTTTTCTACCCATAGTGAACTTATACTGGGGGTAGAAAATACTAAACATTTTGTAATGTGATTCTGTTTCCTTATTTAATGCTGAATTTATCAAGTAAACATTCAAACAAGCTTCAGTAGCAGTACCAAAATGATTTAAATTCTTTATCTTCAGAAGGGAAAATCTGATATTTATGAAAACTTTCAGCAAACTTCTCAAAATCTACAACTTGGATTTACAGCTGAACTGACTTTCTAAAGAGAAAAAGGGAAATTCAGCATTTACGAAAAGATTGTCAAAGAAGTTTCAGCACCAAAAGAAATATTAACATGTGGGTAAAAGCCCCCTGAATATAATGTTCCCTTTAGAATTTTCAGCAGTCTAGTAGGATCCTCACTGCAGTGTCCAGAACAACAATATGTCTACAAGATTTTTAAAAAGCCTTAGAATTATCGAGCTTTCCTTCATTAAAGAGTTGGATAGCACTCTGCATTCTAGTACAACATACATCATGAAAGCATGCTTTCATTAGTACAACTTGTGTTTTTGGTACAAGAAGAGAAAATCTGTTTAGGGAAGGAATCACACAAGGAAACTGAGTGGGGTACAGCCTAATTCTGAGAGTGCACTTTCATTTGTTTTGCCTGCCAGTGTTGATTTAATTATACTGCATTATTATCAAAGCAGCATTATGTACTTTTTTATTCCTTTTACATGTGTTTGAGGTGAAGACCTTGGCTTTGTCGGCAAACAGCGCGTTTCAAGTTATTTCTTAAGTACTAAATAATAAAGAAAAGAGAAGAAAAGATTTTTTTTAAGATAGCAGACAGTGATCACAAGTTAAAGGGTTAAATGTAAGATCTCCAAGAAACATTTTGAAGTTGATTAAGACCCCAGCTTTGCATTAAACAGTATCACTTCCACATGAGTTGTTGCTAATGCTGTTAAGGAGCAGCTTGAGAAGCCCAGTGTGCCAGTGACCTCCTTCACCCTCCAGCCACCCACTAGGGCTTCTTGATTAGCATCCTACCTGGTTCTCTGAGGAATTCCCGTCATCCCCTAGGAGCTCATTCCGCACCTCATCACTGTAGGCGATCCGTGACCTTTTCTGTAAAACAAAAAGAAAAAAGGGTTAGGAAGTAAAGCTCCAAAGCCATTGGCATCAAGGCTGATCATCTTAAACCTCGAGAGCCCCCTAATGGATACCTATTTGATAAAAAAAAAAATAAATTAAAAATCTGCAAGTAAAAGTTATTAAAAAGTTCTTCAACTGCTGTATTTTGATAAATCAGCATGGAAAAGTCTTAGCATTTCTAAGAGTCACATCCTCAATATTTCATCAATGCAAGAAGTTTAAGCCAAGCCCAAGCCAACTCATGTTGGATCGGTTCTAATAATCAGGTAACCTTGAGTGGCAAAGTGCTGAAGAAATGCATGTGTAGGAACAAAATGCATTATTCTGAAGAACACTTATTAGTTGGACACAGAACTCAGTAACACTGCAGTAATGCTATTAAATAGGAAAGGAAGACTGACATTTTTCCTTACCAAAAAAAAAAAAAAGCAAAGAAAAATAAGAATGAGCAATGGGCATTTGACAAAATTGGTTGAATTTACATATGTAGAAATTTAACAAGTTTTTCCTTTGTTGCTAAGGCTATGAAGGCCTCCAGAGAAAGGACCAGAAATCAAATACCAAAAGAAAAGAGAGAAAACTGCAGTACAAGGGAACTCTAGTCTACAGCAGTTCATGGAAACACCACAAACCTGAGACAGACATTCATTAGACTATTACAACTGATAGGCATTATTCACAGCTGATGAGCACTGGATTTTCTCATGAGCTGATCACTATATTGACTCTTAACTAGATCAAGTGGCAAACAACTGAAAGAAAATGACTGAAGATTACCAAGGTAGCACAATATTCGCTGGAACAATGGGGAAGTCCATAATAAGAATATTAGTCCAGCTTTCAATTTCTTGGCCAAGTAACACACTCACTGTTAACAGTATAAGATAGTTAATACTCCCACATTAACCATAAAAAGAGATAAAGGATTTTTAACATATTGTCTAAAATTATGCATTTTCTATGACTGAGCATGGCTATGACCAGTTCTACTCTCCCTCAGAGGAAGAAGCCCTTTTTTTTTTTTTTTAAACTGATGGGAGCTTCCCTCCCACTCCACTATGTAGTCACTACCAGTAGGAACTCAGCATAAGAAACTCCCTCCTCAAACCTTCCCTAATCAGAGAATTGTGCTAAAAAATGTTCCTGACTGTAACGCAGGAAATAATTCATTAGAAATCATACTGAGCATATGGAAATTCATTCCCTATTCACCTTCCACTATGAAAATAGCATTTGAGTAAGCTTTACACTGGTCATCTCAGAGCAACACATTTTAACATTTTATCTTGTGCATTTCACCCTTTATTACACCATTGTCATTGCAATGCTTCACAATTTGTGATTTAGTTGCTAGTGTTCAGATCTGGACTATATACTAAGGCTAGAGATGTACGTAGCAAGGACAAAGCATACCATGGTCCTGCTACAAGAGCTGAGTTGTGCCAAATCTTTTGGAGATCTCAGCTGTCACAGTTTCATACTAACCAAGCTAAAAGTATTCTACGGCATTAAAGGAAATGAGAACCTTTAAACAGGCTGTGGTATCAGAGCTGCCTGTTTAAATTATTCATTTCATCACTATGGGGGACTAAAACACTCCACAGTATGCAAGAATATCATATGGAGATAGGTTTTGTTTTTCTCTTTTTTCACCAAAAAGCCAACAAATTGGCATAGATTGCTCAATTACATTATTTTCCTATTTTTATTTGATACACATCAAACAAGGAAGGAAATTACAAATATATACCAATAAATATCTAGACTTCTTTTCTGATTAAGATTCAATCTCCCCACTTGAGGTCCAGTACTTCAGCCGTATAGTCTCTCCCACTTGCACAAAATGACTCAGCCCCATTGATTCTGTCAGTGTTAAACGTATTTGTCATTATTAGGCTGAGATGGGGAGCATGATGCTTCATGAGCTTGTTCTCCAGTGAACAAGTTGCCTAACAATATGTGGAAACTGAGATGGGCCTTGGTTACATATCCTTTATTTGAAAGATTTAACTGGCTGATTCTCATTCACAAGAGACTGCATGAAAGAAAGGAAGAAGAACATTCTTCATGGGAAAGAAGTAAACGTTAACGGCAATGCAGTTTTTAAAGGCTCTTTATAATCCTTACATCATCACCACTGAACTTAATAAATATATTTGTATCATTGTTCTTTCATTGTAATAATCTGTCATGATATGAAAATCGGCAATTTTATTAAAAGAAATAATCCTTTGACTACAATTAGGTGTAACTCTTTGCCATAATCAATAAATAATTTGATAGTACTTTTGATCACAGTTCCACTGCCAAATGAATCAATAATATAAAAGGAAAGGCCTTTGAACTAAAGTGTTCGTTTGTTCTTCCAGGATTTGTCCAAAATATCAATACATTCATATCTTCAATTACTATTCTTATTTTTATTAAAGTAAAAGTGCCAACAGATTCAAGTGTGGCTAACAAAAATAGTGAAAATGAAATGGTTCATCTGAACTCAGCAATAAAATGAGTTTTAGGATTTTTTTTTTTTTTGAGTTTATAACTATCAGCTGTTTATAAATATATACTTTAGCCAAATGCAAGAATGATAGTTTGAGCTGGAAATGTCACACACTCTGCTACAGTTTGAAGGAACCCAATTCATAATGCATTTTATAAATAGTTAATGACTTCTATACATAAGCTAACCAGGCAAATCAAGAAATTGTCAACATTTTTAGTCTTAGTTGTCAGTTACCACTGTCTACTGGTACTTTATATGTATGTTTCTAGAAAAGACAGAAGCTTTACAGAGTTTGTAATCCAAGGCATTTCTGGGCAGCTCAGTATAAGTTTAAGAGCTTCTATGTGCAGTTTTTCGTCCGTAAAGGTCTGTCATACAGATAAGTTTTTCTTGTATTTTGTATTTTTCTTGTGTATACATGCACAAAAAGTCTAAGCACCCAGGAGTTTTTACTTCATTGTACACGCTTCCATTCAAATGCAGCATGCACACGAACACACCGCTACACAAAAGGGTTAAGCTACTTTCTACAAAACTTCAAGACAGAGAAAGTTTCAGGGGCTGTTTTAAATGTACTACAGTATCCAGACCTTCTGACAAGGAAGAATTTCTGATTCCAGGCAGATCTCTCTTGGTTTATGAACAGGATTTTTGCATACTGATTGGGTGATTTTCTTAAAGCCCTGTTCAAACAGATACACTTGCTCAGTTCTGTCTGGCAATTTGGCTTTAAACAATCTGTCTACTTGACCCAAGCCTTAACATTTCCCAATAGAACTGAATGTGTTCATGGGCAAGCACAGCTAAATTAGAATTGAAATGAATTAACTCAGCTTAAACTAATTAAGATCTGTGATCTGCAGTACCACCCCCCTGTATGATTCTACATGTGAAGCAGGGTACATGTAACCAGACTGTAAGAATTCTGCTACACTACTAATCTGAGCATAACAATGAAGTTCGTCTATTACTAAAGCATATGAGAAGTTAATTTCCACGGCCTACACATGGCAAAGCAATTGCTTAAATTGCCTCACCTGGGAATTTAATACAATGTTATCATCAGACCAGCCACACTGTAAATAGATTTATAATGCTTTCCATGTGCTAGGCTAGGTTGCATATGAATTAAGTAATGATCTGGTATTACAATACAATCAGCTAGTTCCCACACCTGGCAGACAGGGTATTTTGCTAAATTACTACCTATATAGATGCATCACAACATAAAAACAGAAAAGGCAATGGGAAGAGAAACAATCTACATGGTGTATGACTGATTTTTACATGGTAACCAAATAAGATGTAGATGGAAAGAGGTATCCAAAATAATCTGTTTCCAACATCTGTACAACAGAACACATACTTATTCATTTCTATTCAATTTTGGCTTAATTTTCCGCATTCTATACTTTAATTACTCATCCACATTCTGAAATGTTCCCATTAGTGAAGGCCACAACTAGCCAATGCCCCCTCATTCCAACGCACTTTTAGCAATCAGACAAATAATTGCTATAAAGTATCACGTATTTTCATACCTGAACTAAAGAATAGGTTTCCTCCTAAATGCTAAGCAGCCCCCTGAACAGACGACCAAGTCTAGATACATTTCAGACAAAGGGCCCAGCAAATCCTTTTGTCCCAACCTCTCCATTTTTCATCCTCAATGTTTTAAGAATAGATTAAACCGATTTTTTTTTCTGTAAAATTTGTAAACAAACAAAAGGGCTTATTTATTCACAAACATCTGTTTTCATTAGAATTTCCTAGTATATATAAATGGTTTAAAAAAACATCTTCAGGCATCTGTTTCAGAGTTTGGCCCTGCTCTACATGCAAATAAATACACAAGATTAGCATAACCAGAAATAATTTTTAGGAATAAATTATTTTACTTTGTGTTCTTCAAGCATACTCAATTTTACCATCGTTCATGTTAAAACAAGGTGAAAAAGTGACCTGATCTTCAAACACAGTACTGCAGATTGTAGACTTTCACCTCTGCTTTTCTGAATAGATGCCTTAAGTATTTTTGCTGAGTAGAAATGGAAAAGAGAGTTCAGCAAATTTAGAAGAGAAATAAGTAACCTTATCTAACAGCAACACAACACTTCTTCAGGAAATAATTGAAATTGATTAAAAAATTGTGTTCAAACTACAGTTTACAAAACTTCCTCATTTTGCTGTAAACGTGATGCAGGAACAACAGATCAGATACTTCAGACTACCATTAGAAATGGGTTTTCCTGTTCCTAAATAGCTCAGTTTGTGAATAAGAACCAGGAAACTGGTTACGTAGTGTATATATATGACATGATGCAATGCTGGACTTTCAAGCATTTCCTTATGAAAATAAAACCATGAAGCCGATATATTTCTGCCTGAAAGGAAATAAACTATTCTACAAAACCTATGAAACTTCTGACTGAAAGAAGTAATTCAACAGTACATGTCAGCTGGCAAAAGT